CCCCCCCGCCGTTAGTCATCTGCCTGATTTCCATATGTTCCAGGCCGTCTTTCCATGGCCGCTGCCTCCTTCCTGGAAATCCATTGCACATTTGCCTGCTTAGTAAAGTAAATCAAGTAGGCAATGATGCACCAATTTCCGTTTTGGGTGGAAGTGTCTTTAGTATGGTTCATTTCCAATTTCATTCTCGAATCCCACTACTACCTCAGAACTATCAATGTAGGTAGGACAACGTGACAACTGCGTCATCAGGTACCACAGAACGTACTCTAAAGATCCATTAGCGCAAACATATGTATCATCATTTTCAGTGCTCATAGCAATGGTCAAAAATTAACAATTTCATCATCTTTGACAGCGAGACTGTTTAACGAAAAAGAATTAAACTAACGCGAGCTCAAAACGATTTCCGAAATCTTAAATTTTAAGGTTTTGTTATACTTCTTTATTATAAACGCTTTTGCACTCCTGCTAGCAACAAAAAATGCTTTTACTACAACAGATCCTCCTGGATAACTTCTTCTGACGAATTCAACCCGGATGGTAATATTTGAGACTCAAAAGCCTACCCGTTCAATTTTGACCCAACAGATGTTCATCACTGATGATTCCTTGCAAATTTTCCTTTCGAAAAGACATCGTACATATTGCGTCGTGGCATGCTAAGAATGCCACCCTCCCCACAGGAAGATTCCGTTATTTTGTATGAAGGATCTACCATTCTGTTTTATTGGGAATTGATATCAGCGGTGGACTGTGTAACCATGGTAAGTGTACTGAGACCAATGTTAACTGAGGTCTTCATTGTGACAGTAGAGGAAACAAAACCATATCATTCCATATCTAAGGCACTCCTTTACAAACCCTTTATTGATAACATGACTGTTGTAGCAAGAGACAGGGAAAATTCAAATTTGAAAATTTGAATTGTCACCATTCCAAAATCGGATTTACCGCATGGTCTAAATGAGATTGATCATTTCTATGACTGGGAGATAACAGCATGAGAAAAGGTATGAACAATCCATTTAGACCACGTTTAACAGACCGACCTTACCGGGACAGTATATGAAGTTCTACTCGATGCAGTATAAACAAATCATACAAAAAGGCTCATTTTTTATAGAAACATGTTTTCTTTTGCAGGAAACTTGAAGTGAGTCTTCAGGTTCTATCCTGTACTCCACTGAACTGCAAATGCCCACGGAACTTCACCACCGAGTCGGGTAATATGACAGAGACCAGAGATAAGGAAGATGACATGCCGAACAACGATGCCGTTTAAAACACGATTTGTTAAGGACAAACTGTGTTCCTTCGTTAAGACTTCTCTATTAAGCCCGATAAATCCAATTTGGACAAACCGAACACATATTATCTGTTCATTCATTTGCTTTATTCAATGCAGCTGTGTTCTCAAGTGTATCAGAACGACTGAGAAGCGATTGCCCGGTAAAGATTACTGACTGACTCAAAGATTCTTTCACGTTATGTTTCTCACTATTTATCTCTCTGGAAAGTTTGTATCAACCCAATGCTAGCACTCCTGATGCACCGCCGATAGAAAGCTGTTATTGCGTTGAGGTTTGCTAAGGCCATAGTTATTAGGGGTCACAATTCATACCTCTGTAAACAACTAACCAGATCAAGTAATGGCAGTGCTGCCACCGTAGTTTTGCAATATATATGGTCTCTCACCACTTCCTTTTCCCAGTCCAAGTGGGGCTAGTGATCTTTGCCCTTTACACTAACTTCTCATTGTCTAATAATTTTGCTACTGTGGTTATAATATGACGCCCTTCCCTTTCCTGAATTAATAAACTTTCGCAGTTTAAAATCAAGCACACACACACGCTTGATCTACAGGTGAACGCGCCGTGTTCCATTCCACCTACCCGTCTTTCTCACATAGGGCCTTCTCTGTTAATTGATTGCAATATTTTACATTTCCAGTCCGGTTGTCATCGATTGCTTTCCCTTATTTTCATTTTTCATTTCATTCTAAAACTTTTCTGTCAAAACCTGGGGGCTTTTTGAAACCTCGAAATGATCGAGAGTGCGCGCCTTGGGTTGTGACTGGTCACTTTTCCCTTGCAACTAGTGAAATGCTCACATAAGATCAAGTGTCTCGAATGGCCTCATTGTTTCCACACGGTGGGGATGTTTCTCAACTGAAGTGAATGGACGAAAAGCCAACCGGGTCAGTAGACCACTGGTAGTTGACACAGGGGAGTTAACTGAAAACCCAGATTCCAAACCAATCAGGACCAAACGTCTGGACCAAACACACACAGACACATCTTCCTCGTTCTGCTTGTG